GGTGGTAAGGTGGGGGCTGTCAGACTCCATTCGGAAAGTATCGACTAGTGTCTCGGATATGGGGTGTCCAAAGGTGGTGAAGATGGTTTCCAGAAGCTGACAGTCTACAATTGTATGGTTGTTGTTATTGAACAGTGAACACCCCTTCCGAGACATCGGTGTATCGATATGGAGTCTGACAGGTGAAACAGAACTTAACATGTATGTCAACAGTCGTCACTGCCTCCTTCTGTAACCACCTGCCCTGGTTACAGTGGGTGCAGATTTTCTTGGAGGGAATAAGTTTTGACAGGGACTTGACTGACATTCCGTCTTACACACGAGTGGATTCCACTCAGTGGAATGAGTTTGTTTTCCATCGCATGTTTTAGCATACGCTCTACAGTTGAATCACCCCTTGGTGGATATTGTAGGGGCAGCCCCGAGGCAGATAACTCAGTCTCAACCTGATTCAGGGTAGGATCATGAACAGTAGATGGATTCTTACTGTCGACATGTTTGCAAAACCTCGGTAAAACTCGGCTTGGTAAAGTTTTAATTTGTATCGTACATTTTGAACGTTAAGATCAAAATGTACGATAAAATGTAATTCAAACATCAAGCATTTGTGAGATCAATTATAAACGTTGCATAGAAGATAAACTGAAGTTTCACCCGGGTAACAGCTGATTATCAAGCCTGGAAACAAGTTATTTAGATGGATTTGAGCATGACGAGTGACGACATATGTAACTCGAGATCACACATAAGCCCGGCAATATCCAAGTAGCCCGATGGCCGACACGTGTTCACGAACAGTTTTTCCACTTGTACTAACCGATTTGACAGTGCTGCATGTCTTGATAGCAGGTTTTTTGATATCAGGCTTCTTGATAACAGGTTTCTTGATAGCAGGAATGCTCTCAATCTTCGGACTACTCTTTGGCTGAAAAACAATAGTTATTTCAATGAATGTTTATACCAAATGAAAACGAATGTAGGATAGTACACATTGCTGCGATAAGTTATGAAGCGTACGTTACAACATTCATATTATAGCTATGTTACATCGATTCGTTGACATTTGACAAGATATACTTACAGGGAGAAAATCATCCTAGCTCGAACTGTATGTTTCTTGGAGCAATTTGTTCATTTGTGATGAAATATTGTTCCTGTGCAGGTAACAGTTAAATTAAATAAGTTTTGGAATGTAAGTCAAAACCATGTAAATCTATTAGTATTAAGTTGATCAACCAAATAATGGCATAGGTGGTGTCCAACCGTGTCCATGTCGATTGGGCGACATCTGTCCGACAACGACATCTGTCCGACAGCCGAATTAGGGATTTCGGACAGATATCGCTGTCGGACAGGAGTCGTTTTTGGCGACATCTGTCCGAATTTCGGATCATATTGTAATTTCGGTTCACATTCGTATTTCAGAAGCTCACGGGTAATCTTGTGACGTTGCTCCCATTGTTCTAATGCTGATGTGATCCATTGAAATATGATCCATCGATGATTCGATACATGATTGACTAGTTGAGAACAGGAACGTCAGATCGTGCTAGCCGTAAACTAACAAGCTGGCGATCACATCACAGTACATATAAGACAGCGGTCCACAATTGCAACTAATCTTCAGTTTATCCCTGGACCAAAACAAGGCTCGGAGAACCCTGTCCTGAATGGCTTCCGATACGTCTTCGACAAACGAAGAGACGACACCACCCACAATTATGACGGTCCATGATAATGGATCTATAATTTAATTTTAATCCTGTGTATTCCTGTGTAATCCACCCACTGGAAATATTCGGATTTCCGAAAGGGTTGCAGAGCCCGCATCTCTACCGTGGACAAACAACTGATCACTCCTACTACTGCCCACCATGCTGAAATGACCGTCCACGTCAGCAAACAGAACTTGAAAAGAAAAGCTTCTGGTGGAGATCAACCGACGAAATACCTCGTATCTGAATCAGTTGGTGGATTGGGTTATGAATCTAGAGCAAAGCTTAGTTTCCAGCTATCACCCCTCAACAGAATGGTACAGAGCTGCAGAAAAGCAGCAAACAGACACCCTTCTAACCCTTCTAATCTGGAAACACTCTCCATTCCTGCAAACTATATGCTCTCTACCGACAACGAACCAGTGATGCTCTGGGACTCTGGATGGGACGAAGATACTCGACGATCTTTCCTTTAAGGGACTGCTAAGAACGCAGATCATATATTATATGGCGGACGCGGAGCATTGGGTAGATCATATCTCAAATTGGAAATGTTACGTATACAATTACAAATTAGTGAGTAACAGTTCATGAGTTCAGATCATGTCTCTAAATGGAAATGTGTGGAAATGTGTTGAAAATGAAATCAGATAATAATTTCGGACAGATGTCGTTTTTTTCTGGTACCTTGAGTCGGACAGATCTCGCTGTCGGACACGAGTCGTGTTACCGACTTACCGACCATGTCACGGCGCAAAGGCTCAGGTCGTTGCACTTTTAACAATAACAGTTTTAATGATTAACTGGTTTAGCTGGCAACCTCTGAGGTATGGATTTCGTCTCTACTACATCGGCTAAAGGTTTACTCTGTGGTTAGATGTGTCCCATTAGCTTCAATCAAAATCTATCGTGATAGTTAAAGTATTAGGAAATAGTCTGGCCCCACTAAAATCTTGTTTTAAGAAACACCAATAAAAGCAACACTTTTGGTTCATACCTTTACGTAAAAAAACATGTAACTTTTCACGTTTGTTATATCAGATATAATGGTCACCACGTCATCATTCTGTCGAGTCCAAGTTCCTGAAATTTAGACCCTTAAAAATTAAAATCGATGATATCAATCACAAACAATCTTCCTAACTTAACTTGTTACAATATTTTAATTGCATAACTTGACAAAGACTCACCACTACGTTCCCTACTGTAGCTTATGATATCAGTCAGTAGCTCATTCATTCAATCGTTTAAAAACTGACTTTCAGCAGACAAAGCTCCAAACTTTTGCTATGCAGTCTATACAATGTAATTCAGTTAATATAATAATTTTAATAGATCCAAAATTAAATAACAATAAATCCAAGTTTGGTAACACGACATCTGTCCGACAGCGACATCTGTCCGACAGCACTATTTTCGTGTATTTGAAGTGATATCTCAAATTTGGCACATAGAAATTTATCCAAACTTGCACAAGTTATTTGTCTTAAAGCTATCTTACTATCTAGAAAGTTTCAAGAAAATCGTATCGTTGGATCTCCAGATATATGCTTTGGAACCACTGAAACAACCGAATTGGATATATTTTTTGTGTTTAAGGTAATATCTTAAAGTTAAACTTGGCACATAGAAACTCGCTCAAACTTACACAGATTATTCGTCCTATAACCAACATACTTTGTGGAAAGTTTTAAGAAAATCGTACGGTAGGATCCGACATAAACTATTGTCCAAATAACCTATTTTCTGAGTCGGACAGATGTCGCTGTCGGACAGATGTCGCCCAATCAATTGGAACCATCAAGGGGAATAAAATTAAATTATTGGATGCCAGGAACTAGAATTAAATATACTGGAATACTGTGTTTCCCTGAAGAGGTCTAATTCTAATTGGAACCATCAAGGGGAATAAAATTAAATTATTGGATGCCAGGAACTAGAATTAAATATACTGGAATACTGTGTTTCCCTGTTGAGGTCTTATTCTAATTGGAACCATCAAGGGGAATAAAATTAAATTATTGGATGCCAGGAACTAGAAATAAATATACTGGAATACTGTGTTTCCCTGAAGAGGTCTAATTCTAATTGGAACCATCAAGGGGAATAAAATTAAATTATTGGATGCCAGGAACTAGAATTAAATATACTTAGTAGAGGCTCTTACGGGCAAAAAGACGTGTTTTCTGCTACGAGTTTAGAGACCTAACCGCTAATTGGACACAATAGTATGATGTCTAAGGATCGATAATATGTTAAGAAGTATAAATTTGGCCTTATTAGTCACATGCTATTCTAATGCGCGTTTTAAACTTTGACAGTCTATTACTCTAATGTCCGTATGCTCCAAATTCCCTTTTAAATACGACCTTGGCTTTAAATATAAAGCTGGTCTCCCCTTTACAGCGGGGCTTTAAAATTTTTCGTATGCTCCAAAAATTTAAAGGTCGCCTTTAAATCTAAATACGAGGTCATCTTTATCGATAAAGGGGACCTGAACTTTAGCTACTTTGCCGGTATGCTCCAAAATTTGAAGACGAGCTGCTCTTAAAAAACGGTCATCTCCATATTTGGAGTGAGAATTGACCAAATAAGGCAGACCCAGTTTTACTTCCTGTTCACACCTTCCGGGACATCCGTGACACTTCCTCTCACTCAGGTATGGTTTACTGCAGCTTTTCTTTGATCTCTATTTCCAGCTTATTACTGTATTACTGAAGTCTAACTTTTTACTCATGTCTCGATCGCTTGCTTTTTACTGTCGTTTTAGACAGGGCAAGCTCTGTACGGTAGTTTAGTAAATGTATTGATCGTTATTTTTGCCACTTCATTCGAATTAATTAAACCATTTTGTCAGTCGTGAATCGAGTCAGAGCAATGGAAGACGCATTAGATGTGCTTGAGAACGTTGAACCAAATGAATATGTCAGAAGACCTATGAAAGATCGAATGAACCCATTGAGTCAGTATGATGATACAGAGTTCTACATTCGTTTTCGCCTTAAGAAGGATGGATTCCAGTACTTTTTCAGTTTAGTGGAGAATCAACTTAAAGAGCGTAGAGGCCGTGGACGGTTCCCGTCAGTTCCACCAATCATGCAACTTGCTGTGACTCTGCGTTACTATGCCACTGGTGGATTTCAATCGACAACAGGGGATCTCTTTGGACTTCACCAATCGACAGTTTGAGTTAGCCGACTGATAAAGATTACATCCGAAATCATAGCTTCACTTGCACAGGATACCATCAAGACTCCAAGCTCTGAAGAGTCTCTTAAAAGCAATATGTTCTTCCTGGAATATAGTAGTCTCCCTGGTGTCACCGGTATAGTCGATGGGACTCACATTTGGATTCAATCTCCAGGGGGACAAACTGCTGAGCTTTACCGGAACAGAAAGGGATGGTTCAGTCTTAACGTTCAGGTGGTGTGCAATGAGAAGCACAAATTCCTAAATGTGGTGGCACGATGGCCTGGTTCAGTTCACGACTCCAGGATATGGAAGAATAGCAAGATCTGTAGAGATCTGGAGGAGGGCAGACTGCAAGGAGTCCTTTTAGGTGATTCTGCATACCCTCTGTCGAAACAACTGCTGGTTCCATTCGACTATCCATGTTCGACTGCTCAACATGGGCGGTTCAACCGCGCTTTGTGCAGATGTCGGGTCTTTATCGAGCAGACCATCGGAATATGGAAGCGACGCTTCCCAGTGCTGTCGTACAAAGTTAGAAAGAGTCCAGAGAATGCGGCAGTGGTAATTGTAGCTACGGCTGTGTTGCACAACTTGTGCACTGATTTGAATCAGCCTGTGCCAGGAGACGACCCTATTAATGAAGCTGAACTAAACCTAAACAACTTGTATGACGATGAGCCATTCACTCCTGACGAAGATTTCGTTTTCACTGGCAAAGAAATTAGGGATGCTTTGGTCGAAAGATTCTAGTGCAACTATCGGCCACAACAGATTTGAACTCTATAAGCTATTACCTTATTTTTGCTTGTTGATTAATTTTTGCAAGTAGTATTATTGTAGAGTGCATGTGTTCTGGATGGCACCTACCTTTCACATTTCATAGAGGTATTGAATCATATTGCGGAGCCGTACTGTAAAATAGGAAATCATGACTTCATTTACATTTAGAAATTATGACAAATCATGCCACGACGTATTAAATTATTAAATATTCTTTCGTTCATGTTTGACTTTGTGGCTATTACCTATTTCTTTCTCAAATTTCTTTCTTGTAAAATATCTTGTAGTTATTCGTTATAACATAATTTTATCTCGATTTAACATATTGTGCATACCAGCTAGTGGCTACTCATACTTCACTTGTGTTGTTATATCTTAAAATTTCTCCGTTTTTTCAAATAATTAACATATTTTGTCTTAGGGAGATCAAACTAATATGAAGAATGAAATAGATCAGGTGGAACCCACAACGTGCAAGAAAGAACCAAGTGAATCTGATGGTAACTGTAAGAAAAAGGGGAAAAATTGGTCTAAGTCAGAAGAAGGGATATTAATGGACCTGATAGCGGACAAGCGGGATATTATAGAATCAAAAGCCACTAATCGCACATTTAAAAACTTGAATCTGAAAAATCAAGCGTGGAAAGAGGTTTTTGCATTATACAACAATAACTTGGGTGTTAATCACCGCAGTATTGAGCAGCTCAAGAGCAAATGGGACAATCTGAAAACTTCTGCCAAGAAAAGGAGTGATGCACTGAAACGGCATCTAAATCAGACTGGAGCAGCCCCCAATCCTAAACTGAATCTGAGCCCGAATGAAGAAAAGATACTGGGAATCATGATGGGGGCCTTTGATCCAATCAAGAACGAATACGACAGCGATAACGCAATTGAGGAGAAGGAAACTAAAGTGGAGATGACTGGTTGTGTGAGCCCTGTTGCCACTGTGATTGATTTGGAAGAGGACTCCCGGCCAGAGGGTCAGCTGGAAGAGACAGATGACATGGAGACGGCAACAAGGAAGCGTGACGTTGACGTGATGAAGACACCAGGTAACAGTGGGACTGCCGCCTCTAAAAGACCCAAGACTCAGGCACAGACTGTTAACCAGCTAAGAATGGACTATATGGAGCTACAGAAGACGCTGCTGCTAGAACGGCACCAGAGATATATGCAGCTGATGGACACTTTGGAAACCTGTGCTAGGGAAACCTCCAGGTTGCGTGAAGAGAGACCAGAGCACAGCCAGCTGCAGGATTTGGAGACAAACACTCAGCTGGCAGACCTCATCACCCAAAGTTTTGGGGTCATATCTGAGGACAACTGAATTTATACTAGTACCTGATAATATATGCAAATGATATGTACAGTTATACACAACTGCAATTTCTACCTACAATTTTTTTTGACAATTTTATATACAATTTTTATTGACAAGATTTTACTGCACAATGTCAATACGACAGTTTTATTCCTTTGTTTGACAAATATGGCCTTCGGTATGACAAAAACTTGAGCATCGCATTTCGTAAATTATCAGGCACAGTTCTAGTGCCATTTAAAGACGACCTTGTCGTTTAAAGTACATGGGGACCCTACTTTAAATTTTCTTCGTTTAAAGTCCAACTTTAAGGGTGACCTGGCTTTTATAATTTTGGAGCATACCGGTTTAAAGTCAGCTTTACAAGGTGCCCTTTAAATTTAAAAAAATGGCGTAAAAATTTGGTTTGCATGCGAAATTATACAAAACACAACTTTAAAGCTCAGTTGGGCTTTAAATGGGCTTTAAAGTCGACTTAACCGTTTGGAGCATACGGACATAAGGCAAATAGAGTAATTATATTCATATTTTGTCAGCAATAAGATCACATTATTTTCTATTTGGTGTGAAAATATGAGCTAGAACGGACATAATCTCGCTGAGTCATAGCTGTTTGAAATTTATGATGAACGCGCGGGTGCCAATTGATAACAACTAAATGCTTTTGCGCGTAGGGCGCGTCAAAAATTTGGCAAAAACGCTTGCGGAGTGACAATATTCAAACTTCGATAAAGTATATGAAGTGGGTACTTCTCGGAAAGGAAAAATTTAGGCAAACACGATGAAACTATTTTTGGGTTGATTTGATACAACTGCAAAAAATTATTCAAACTTCAAGCAAAAAAGTCAAAATTTTTACCACTTTTTTGGATTTTACCCCAGAGAAAATAGAGGGATTTGTTTTATTTTTATACCATCTTGTGCGGCTGTCTTTCAGCTATCTCCATGCAAGTTTTGCCGACATGCCAACAAAATTAACTTGCTCAAAATATCAAAAAACATGGTTTTTTGGCCTATTTTTGGCCCAAAAATCGGTTTTTGCAATTTTTACCCAGAAAAATCAGTCCAATCCTCTTGAAACTACTTTTAATCGATTCTACGGTCAAAAATACGTCTGGTAAGGTGTATCTGGGGTCCCTGGCGTATCGAGCAGACAATGCCCGTAAGAGCCTCTACTAACTGGAATACTGTGTTTCCCTGAAGAGGTCTAATTCTAATTGGAACCATCAAGGGGAATAAAATTAAATTATTGGATGCCAGGAACTAGAATTAAATATACTGGAATACTGTGTTTCCCTGAAGAGGTCTAATTCTAATTGGAACCATCTAGGGGAATAAAATTAAATTATTGGATGCCAGGAACTAGAATTAAATATACTGGAATACTGTGTTTCCCTGAAGAGGTCTAATTCTAATTGGAACCATCTAGGGGAATAAAATTAAATTATTGGATGCCAGGAACTAGAATTAAATATACTGGAATACTGTGTTTCACTGAAGAGGTCTAATTCTAATTGGAACCATCAAGGGGAATAAAATTAAATTATTGGATGCCAGGAACTAGAATTAAATATACTGGAATACTGTGTTTCCCTGAAGAGGTCTAATTCTAATTGGAACCATCAAGGGGAATAAAATTGAATTATTGGATGCAAGGAACTAGAAATAAATATACTGGAATACTGTGTTTCCCTGAAGAGGTCTAATTCTAATTGGAACCATCAAGGGGAATAAAATTGAATTATTGGATGCCAGGAACTAGAAATAAATATACTGGAATACTGTGTTTCCCTGAAGAGGTCTAATTCTAATTGAAACCATCAAGGGGAATAAAATTAAATTATTGGATGCCAGGAACTAGAATTAAATATACTGGAATACTGTGTTTCCCTGAAGAGGTCTAATTCTAATTGGAACCATCAAGGGGAATAAAATTAAATTATTGGATGCCAGGAACTAGAAATAAATATACTGGAATACTGTGTTTCCCTGAAGAGGTCTAATTCTAATTGGAACCATCAAGGGGAATAAAATTAAATTATTGGATGCCAGGAACTAGAAATAAATATACTGGAATACTGTGTTTCCCTGAAGAGGTCTAATTCTAATTAACACCATCAAGGGGAATAAAATTAAATTATTGGATGCCAGGAACTAGAATTAAATATACTGGAATACTGTGTTTCCCTGAAGAGGTCTAATTCTAATTGGAACCATCAAGGGGAATAAAATTAAATTATTGGATGCCAGGAACTAGAAATAAATATACTGGAATACTGTGTTTCCCTGAAGAGGTCTAATTCTAATTGGAACCATCAAGGGGAATAAAATTAAATTATTGGATGCCAGGAACTAGAATTAAATATACTGGAATACTGTGTTTCCCTGAAGAGGTCTAATTCTAATTGGAACCATCAATAGTAGAGGCTCTTACGGGCAAAAAGACGTGTTTTCTGCTACGAGTTTAGAGACCTAACCGCTAATTGGACACAATAGTATGATGTCTAAGGATCGATAATATGTTAAGAAGTATAAATTTGGCCTTATTAGTCACGTGCTATACCAATGCGCGTTTTAAACTTTGACAGTCTATTACTCTAAGGCAAATAGAGTAATTATTTTCATATTTTGTCAGCAATAAGATCACATTATTTTCTATTTAGTGTGAAAATATGAGCTAGAACGGACATAATCTCGCTGAGTTATAGCTGTTTGAAATTTATGATGAACGCGCGGGTGCCAATTGATAACAACTAAATGCTTTTGCGCGTAGTGCGCGTCGAAAATGTGGCAAAAACGCTTGCGGAGTGACAATATTCAAACTTCGATAAAGTATATGAAGTGGGTACTTCTCGGAAAGGAAAAATTTAGGCAAACACGATGTGACTATTTTTGGGTTGATTTAATACAACTGCAAAAAATTATTCAAACTTCAAGCAAAAAAGTCAAAATTTTTACCACTTTTTTGGATTTTTACCTCAGAACAAATAGAGGGATTTGTTTTATTTTTATACAATCTTGTGCGGCTGTCTTTTAGCTATCTTTATGCAAGTTTTGCCGACATGCCAACAAAATTAACTTGCTCAAAATATCAAAAAACATGGTTTTTTGGCCTATTTTTGGCCCAAAAATCGGTTTTTTGCGATTTTACCCCAGAACAATCAGCCCAATCATCTTGAAACCACTTTCAATCGATTCTACGGTCAAAAATACGTCTAGTAAGGTGTATCTGGGGTCCCTAACGTATCGAGCAGACAATGCCCGTAAGAGCCTCTACTACAAGGGGAATAAAATTAAATTATTGGATGCCAGGAACTAGAAATAACTATACTGGAATACTGTGTTTCCCTGAAGAGGTCTAATTCTAATTGGAACCGTTCAGGGGTGTTAGAATGCGCTACAAAATAAACGATTGTAAAAGAGTCGAGAAAATGATAACAGTCAATTAACGATTTGGTCCATCGAGGTAACATTTTAGAATTGCTGATGTAGTTCACTAAGTGCTACAAAACTCAAATAAACTGAAGAGAAGTAATCGTTTTACAATTTTTTTGTTGTTGCCCTGATCAGTCGAATAAGAAAGATCGGTCGAATAAGAAAGAGAATAGAGCTTCACACAATAAGTTACAAGAAGTTAGTTGAGCAGATGAAGGAGAAAATAAAAACGAAACCATCTCAGTACCACTATATTAGGCCAAACAATGTGATAATAAGTGTTGCAAAAGAACTGATAGGGAAAACATAATGATATCACGCGACGGTCTCATATCTGAATCCGATTCCTGAGATACATCTTAGATCATGATATCGAAGTTTCCTATCCGACTCCCAATTCACGAGTCAGATCTCAAATCAAGAAAACAACACATTTTTTTTTCAAGACAACAATTATAGCAACAATTTTATAGCCGTAGGATATTGAAATCATTATATTATTCAGGAACATATGAGGGGTAATATCAGTGTTTCATATTATCTGGATGCTGATACCCAAGTTAGATCTCAGATTGTGACATCAGGGTCTCTTATTCAAGTACCGATTCCACAATGAGATTGTGAGGTATTTGACCTAAAAATTGTTTTGGTCAAATATAATACACAAAGAAAACTTCAAATTATAATGGAGACTCCTGGTAGAGTCTAATGCACATGGCAAATTTATTCTTGTCTAAATGATTCAAATCTAAATTTATCAATTATTATACTGTGCTGATTATTGGTCATGGCTAAAGGATTGACACTCAGCTCACTCAGATCACATGGCAATTATGACTTACAAGGCATGGTTTTCATGTGATACGTGACACGTGTAACTTAACAGCCAATCTTTTAGCCACTGCCTATTGTGTGAATAATTTCTGCTTGAGTCAGGATGTTTTGACAAAAGAATGCCAAACTATAGGAAAAAATCAGCCAAAATGACGTTCAAAAAATCACCCTCTGCTTCTACTATCAAGACCCGCTCAGTCTTCCCTGCCAGACTGAGTGAACCGTCTTTAGCCAAAAAGTTTAAAATTGGAATTTGTGCGATGGAAAACAAGGTAAAGTTTTTAAATGATTTTACTTAGCATTCACACAATTGAGTTTTTTTGAATGAATGGAATGAAAAGATAATAATTCATTTCACTTTAACTATATGAAAATTGATGTGAATAAGCATAAATGCATATATTAATATCATGATTTAGGTTTTATTATCAATCACCACAAAACGAGTTATATAATGTTGTACGAATATTTCAGAGTCGATCAATCCCCATGAAGCAAATACTCTCCAGATTAGATGCTCAAAACTTCTTTGAGATAATTGTTTTTACCAACCAAATGTTATTTGATTTGAACATAGATGAGTGGCCTAGAGTTGACTGGTGAGCTCACACAAGTTTCAATGCTACTTTACATCAATCTTGACTTTTCAATAACCTATTAGAATGGTGTACCATTATAAAAGTGCTACCTAAAATATAATATTTTTGCCAGAGTCTTTATTCAACATTAAGACGATTTTATAACTGTTGATTTTTCAGTCTGCTGGCGTTCTATTCAACAGGTTTCCCTTTGGACAAAGCAATTGCTTTTGGTAACAAATACAAACCTTTTATGATCAATGACCTTGAGATGCAGAAAGTGATACGGAACAGAGAAAAGGTTTTACAATCTTTCTTTTTCTTATCATAAATTTAAATATTTATTTCCTAGCTCTGTACTCTGATCTAGAATACAGTTAGAACATAAAGTGACAAAATGGTTTTATATGAATTTGATCCAAAATGAATAAATCAATAATCTGAATACTGTGGTTTTCAATGTAGGTCTACAGTCTTCTTAAATCAGACAATGTGCCGGTGCCGCGATATGAAGTCCTTAAGAGAAAAGATGATCTTAACCAATCCTTAGAAGGTATTTTGCATTTACACATTTACTAGAATATCGAAATATATTTTAATTTTTATCTGGATAAAATGAGCATACTTTACACAGTTATCTAGTCGTAACAATCCATAAAAACACAACAAGGGCATTTTTAAGTGTATTAATCGACTAAACCCTCCAACTATCTAATAACAGATTCTCAAGTGATGGAAGAACATGAAGACCACCTGACCATTAATGATCAAGTTTTTACAAAGCCGTTTGTGGAGAAGCCTGTGAACGCTGATGATCATAATATCTACATCTATTACCCTCAAGCAGCTGGGGGAGGAAGTCAACGTCTTTTTAGAAAAGTATGCTCTTTCTTTTCCCACCTGAATGGACAAATTGGTTGAAAATTTCCAGGCTGATGGGCTCAGACTACAAGAAAACAACAATTTGATTTAGCATCAATTAAAGCAGACAAACAACCAAAATTTATATATTCACCTAACAGCTTTAAATTGTTCTAGGTATAATAGTAATGATACTAAGTTATAGGTATACGAAAGATCCAGTATATATTCTCCAATATCAAGAGTCAGGAAATTTGGATCTTACATCTATGAGGATTTCATGCCCACAGATGGTCAAGATGTTAAGGTTAGTGCTTATAAGCCTGTCCATTGGTTATATGCTCTTAGATATTTGATACCTATAGTTACATAAATAACAATATTAAGATATCAGAATATTGACAATGTCTGTACCAGTCTTTTATGGTAATTCAAATTGTGAAAGTCAGTGCATTAATTTGTATTGGTAATGCTGGTAAGAGGTTTGAGCACTAATTGTTATCAATTCAGGTATACACAGTTGGCTTGCATTATGCTCATGCTGAAGCAAGAAAATCTCCTGTGAGTTTGAAAAGATTATATACTTACTCTGATATAATGGGGATGTATAATGTATAATGTATAATGTATAATGTATAATGGGGATGTCTTGAACAACTAAGAGTTATTAAAACTCATGATTATTTTGCAAGTTTAAATTAACGATTTGGCTAGAGTTGGAAGTTTAAACTCTGAAATAATGACTTATTCCTTGTAGGATTTACAGCTACAATTAGGGATTGCCAGATGTTAACTGTTGCCGGTCAAATCGTTCAATATGATATGCACAATCCCGGTCAAAGTGTATTATACAACTTTTATGCTTCTATTACCTACAACACAGTAACTTACGTTAGATTCTACCTCGGACACTGCAAATTATTTGATACATTTTGTAAATAATGGAACTGACCGGTAACTTCTCCAGACACTTGATGGAAGAGTTGAGAGGGATAAAGATGGGAAGGAGCTGAGGTATCCTGTTATTCTCAGCGCCAAGGAGAAGGAAATTGCCAGACTTGTAGCTCTGGCTTTTAAGGTTCGTTAAATTAATTAAAGATCGAATATATTTTAAATTTTAAAAATGTTATCCATTTCTCTTAGTTCAATAAAACAATATCATTAAGTCAACTAAGAAAAAATATTTCGTCGTTAGGAATTGAACAATTATATGCTAAGATTTAACCTAGTCGAATCTAAGTTCTCTTCATTCACTCTGATAATGAAATACAGACAGCAGCCATACTTATATTTAAATACTTGTTACCCAGCAAAAAAATGTAATGTATAGTTTTACGAAAGTTTCAATGATAAGCAACCCCTCTATTCAGTGATGGCCACTTCTCATGGCAGCAATATTGATACACTACTCAGTACTAGTGCATACTTAAAACTACGAATATAAACATAATATAACGGTCTATAAAAGTTTCAATATGTAAAGCACGATGTACACTGAACATGATCGCTGAATGTCTTCATCCTGTAGATAATCTAAGTTATTCTAATTGTTATCTTAAATGATCTGTTCACATTCTAATTAAGATGTTGCATTGATAGAGTGAATCAAATGACTATCCATTTAAGAAAATTCCACTTCTATCTTCTGTCCTGTTCACTGCAAAAGGTACTATGGGTGCAGTGCTAGTAACTGTTTAAATAGAGAAACTATGGTTACTGTAAAATAAATACACTCTCGATCTCAAACTCCAAACTGTCAGTGGAACATAACTTGTTTCGTTTGCTAAACATAACGTTTGATGAATTTGCTTTGATAACGTTGGCCCTGACTCTATCGCTTGGTTGCTGCGGCTTGAGGGATAACTGTCGTTGTTTTAAACTTAATTGTAATATAGATGATGACTGGAATGCGGACGATGACTGGAATCCGGATGACGATTGTGTGGACTGAGAATGAAAGCTGGAACCGTTTGGTTTGGACTTGGAATGTTTAGGGGTTGGTTTGGGAGATATGGCCTCGTGTAAGGTAGATAAAACTGGCGAAAACTGGTGCATTGTTGAGACGACACTGACCCTACTTCTAGCGAACCACTGGCACACAAATCCTCTGAACTGTTTTATTCTGTAAAAGTACACTATGAAGTTAGCCAATGAGTTCACACCAATAAGGACTATGTAGACCAGATTCCAGAGGTAGCTGTCAATAGTTACCGAGCCGTTTAACCACTTGTGAGGCTGGTGACTGATGTAGTAGTATGTGAACCCTGAAAGGTAGAGAAACAAGGGGAAGTTCAAAAACAGGTAGGTTCCTGTAAGTATGAGAATTGTTATGGTTGCGCTGCGTTTCCGATCGTTTCCATGCCTAGAGGACTGTGAATTGTTTTGATTAGTAGACCTCAAAACATACATGGAAATACCACAGCTCACTAATATTGGTAAGACGGGGTTAGCCAGGAAAATGATAACTGTTATGAGGGACATTTTGTTCAATAACTCGCTCTCAGAGGTCCACATACACTCCACTGATCTGTTGAGATAGTGAAAAGTGGGACCCTCTACCACCATGGGTGTAGCCATTCTGATAGCAATCCAGATACCATAAAACACCACCACAACTATAACCTTAGTTTTACTGATAATGCGGAGAGGGTGGAGACAGACGAGGGTTCTGGTGATACTGAGGATTGCAATGAGGAATACTGACATGTAAGGGGCCCATGTCCACACTGCCCCCCACACTGTGCACAGCACAGACCACCCAAACATCTTCTTGTCCCTGTTATACGCGAAGGAGACACCCACTGGTAAAATAAAGATACAGAGCATGGAGTCGATGAGAGAGAGGAGGGTGTAGAGGCGAGTGGGGAGGTCGCGTCCGCGCGAGATAAAGTGTGTAAGTGCAGCAATGTTTCCAGGTACCCCCACTACAAACACTATCAAACAGATCACTGCCAGAGCAATGTCTAGTCTCCTGTACACTGTCATTTCGGCGAGTGATGTGGTGTTGTGGCTGATTGTCTCTAGAGTCTGATTCGACATCATCCTGAGTGTAATTGATTGTTAGACGGTGGTGAGTCCTGTTATAGATGTGTATTTTAGTAGGTCGTGACTTTTAGGGGTGAAACAGAATTATTTGGTTGAAGTGATGACATATTGCATGTGTTATGTATGTGATTGTAGGGACTGACGTTCAAACAGTTGGAAAACTTTAAACTTTAAAATGAAAATAACTGAAAGGTTGTGCGGAATTGTTGAAACTATTTTGTCTAATCTTGAACAAATTATACAATGCTCGAAATAGCGTCTAGGAGAAGATATAAAAGCAAAAGTGGAAAATTGAAATATTTTGATTTGCCGCGTTAAGATAAACAGATGAGTTGCTATCAAGGCAATATTTAGCAAACAAACAAGCTTGTTGAAGAATTATCTAAATTCACACTCACACAATTAGTGGAAACGATCTCGCTAATTGGTCAAATAGTGAAATCACGAATAATTTCCTCAATTATCGAATATACCAGAATAAGCACTACCACAATTACACACACTTCCAGAAACTTTTAAATCTTAACAATTTCAGCAAAACATCTGTGGGTTCGATCTGCTGCGAGCTAATGGACAAGTATACGTTTGTGATGTAAACGGATTCAGCTTCGTCAAAAACAGCCCCAAATATTACGACGACTGTGCGCAAGTCTTAGGGTAAATCATACATCTGGACTTTGGTGGGAAGGTGAAGTATATTATTGACACGTGACAGCAATTAGCCAATCAGAAGTAGTAAACCCGTGATTGGGTGGCATGAACCTCAAGAGGATATTACATACATTTATATTATAACCAGAATCACTATCACTTGATAAAAATAAGCATTACCTATGCTATAGTTTAATGACTTGGAGACCTAGCGTCTCCAGAGCTAAAAGCTTAAGTATTGTTAAGTAGGAGGAGCTAAACGATGAATTAACCAAACATAATACTCATAGCGGAGAAGCTGTTTTATTACCAGTGAGTTTATATAATATCACCTTCAACTAACAACACTTATGTGTTATTTGATTTTATTTTTAATGGAAGTTGTAAAATGATTGCAATCAGTGAAGAATATTGATATTAACAACTTTATAATAATTTGAAAGTAATTGTTTCGACAAAAAAAAACCGTGGCAGTTGGAAATTGGAACTTTTAATCGCAACTTACGTTACTTTGCTTTTTACAACATGCAGGGTACGCAACTTAGTTATATAAAACTCTTTGCAATGCTATAGAAAACACTTATATTGTTTTTAGTATACAGGTTCTACGGACAATCTAACAATAAACGTGAGCCAGCCAGAATCGAAATATGACTTATTTCCATCCCGGGAAAAAGGGTGAATGGTTCCGTACCTGTGCCCTTTCCCAACTATGTCTACACAAATAACTAACCAAGTGGTATGTCACCAGCCTTGTTTATTACTTTATTACAAATGGAAAACGATTAAAAAACCTAATCTATGTTGAGGTATCACATTGTAAAAGTGATACAGTTTCTTACTTACGAAATGACGAAATAGCTCGTTGAAAATGGCTGGTGGTACCATGAATGTAAATAAACTTCAGCGACACGGTTAATTGTTGCTTCACTCACTATCTGCAAGCTGCACCAGTACCAGCAAGTTATGAAGATTTAGCTAAACTGTGTGCAGAGAGGAAGCTAAGAAATGGTCGGGTTAGTGGGGTGGTCTCCACTTTGTAGGAACCATTTAACTCGCAATCAAATTATGATTTAGGAAGACACACCATGAAGTGACGATGGTTGCAATTCTTTGAACTCTAGAACGGCCTCCTGATCCAGTAGACTGGAATGAGGAGGTAAAGTAAGGAGAGGAAGTAAATGAAGGAGAGGAAGTTAAGGAGTTAAGGAAGTAAGTTACGGAGAGTAGCTAAATTAGCAGAGCTCCTGGTCCTCTTGTAGAGATTCGTGAGGGGCTATGAGAGAGGGCTCCAGATAATATCAAATACAGTGATATAAACTCAGTTGTACCAGAACTTCATAGGTACGTACATGGTTTCACATCCAACGACCTTGAAGTACAGTTCACAGTTAATCCACGATTGGGTACCCTTGCTAAGGTTCCAGCTGTCCGTACAAAAGGCTCAGCTGCTCACCAGACTCTATATGAAACATCATTTGGTGTAATGGGTCCCAGACTCTGGAACTGTATACCTACGCACATACGTGCAGTCTCCAAACATGATGGCTTCAAGCATCATATGACGGCATTCATGCTTTCCTTGCCGGATAAACCGCCAATCCGGGGCTTCACATCACCGAACTCCAATTCTATACTGGACTGGCGTAACGATCGAGAGGCATCTGCTCTCTGGGGTGGTCAGCAACTCTGATGGCCTGTCCAGTTTCGACGAAGCAGATCAAAGGTATCAAAGGTAAGGTACCACTAAGAACGGTCCATGAACACTCTGTCAAACTATAAGTACCAATCAAATTATAATAACTGTCAAGTGTCAGAGACACGTGTCGGTGCGGGCACGATCATCTGTTTAAATTAGCCGTCACTTAAATCCGGTTCTTCTCAGATTCCGGGAAGTTCTTCTCAGAGCACATGTCGTGGCTTCTTGGGAAATCTTGGGAGCTTAATTGAATAACGTCTTAAATTCAGGGACGGTGACAGTTCAAGTCTTCAACGTATTCTCAAGAAAAAAAAATCATTACTACACGAGATAGTGATTTAGCTTTATAATTGTATAATAAGATAAATGGATACAAATTACAAATCTGTGAGATTTCGTAAGTTCAGACATAAGAGCTTTTTCCGTTTTAATTGCATGATCATGACCAAACAAGTAACGAATTGTAAACACTTGAGCAATATTAGAATAACCTTAAGGACCGGGAGGCTGATATGTTTGAATTCCGTCTATTTGATATCCTTTTTAACCGTTTAATATCCTTTTTGGCCGTATGATACCTTTTTTCTCAAAGGCAAAGTCTCCCTGATTTCAAACCATACTTTCCTCTACTAATCATTCTGCCAAGTTCTAGAAAGCCTGGTGATTTTCAGTAACTTTAAAACGGAATGGCTGGCTCAGTTAACATGTTCATTGTTCATGACGATAGTTTCACAAAGTTACACTCCGGTAATGTCCTGTTAGTATACACCACCTCACCAGTATACATGGCATGAGAAGAGATGTACACTCAGTGCCGTGCATGGAGAGATTTGATACAGCATGATTAATGTACTGTTCATTACACACTACGCTGGCTAGATGTTAGCTACTTAGATATTCGAGATAGCAGTTGAACAAACCTGTGACCGACTTGAAAACAAAACAAAAAGTTTTAGCTCTCAAAATTGCACTGTGAAATACTCAGTATATATGGTTACAACACCGTCCACACAGCTTCTCCAAATCATATTGACGTGACAAATAGGATATTATCCAATTTGTCACAATGGATAAGCAAATTGAATAATATAACGTCTTTAAACCAATTTTAACAAGAATTTCGCCGTGGTTACAACACCGTCCACACACGATAAGTTTTTTCCTACAAGTGAAATGTTTGGCGCACCTAACAATCGTGTTTTCATTTAGGCGTGCAAATTAACTTGAAAAAAAAATCCGTGCATGGTGAAATTGGAGATTTGCGCACAGCTGAAGAAAAAAAAAGAAGCTGATCCAGCTAGTCTGGAGGTCAGAAAATCTCACGGGTACTAAATAAATGAAGTAAAACTACTAAATAAAGTACTAAATAACAATATTATATATAGTATTACTAATTAGTTTTTATATATAATAGTATTACTAATTAGTTTGCTTTCCTTGAAAGCATTTAACTCACATGAAGGTGTGCAAACGAACAATTCCACGATTATAATAAAACAACACCAATCACATTATTACCATAATAATAAACAAAGAAAGTAGTGGCCTTTAGACCGCGTGTTCAACGGATTGTACATGCATTGTAGGGGTGGTAATGAGGAAGCAGTCAGCTAGGATACTGGAAGAAATAAATAAAAAATGGTTATTGGTTAGACATAAGACAAGGTTGCATCTAGAACAGATCACACTAACACGGACGGTGATCATTAATAAAGATGTATGTCATAAGCTGTTGTATTAGTGAGCAGTTCAGTTACTAATAACTCTAGGTAATTATACAACATGTGATCCTACTATCATGGTTAATGGTAGACGGTGAACCTACAGATTAGTAGATTTGATTATTAAAGATTTTATACGGACGATTATAATGATGAATGATCATGATTAATATAATGTTATGACAAACCAGGTGTAGCCAGTCCACACCCTGGCTCCATAATATGAAGTACTTGTTTTAATTAATGAAAAGCTCGAATAGACGATTGTTCTTATAGTTATGCATATTATTCATAGGCTGAGTTTCTGCTGAATGTTCTGATTGTTGACTGAGTATTAGTCATATTACCAGCTGACAAGTTCACAGTAACATTAATCTGACTAGTCCTCTCACATGATCTGCAACTTGATATTATGCCGTATAACACTTGACATTTAACTCACTAGAACCCCACAGTATCCAAGAATCCCGAACCAGTCGTCCGTGCTCCAGTCCGCGGACCAGTCCGTGCTCCAGTCCGCGGATTACTTATGACTTGGTGGTAAACAGATCATAATATCATGAATGGTAACTTGAATGCTATTAGTTACGACTAGCATTAATTGACATGCTGGTATATCCTGCACCACATGCGACCCTGTGACCACTTCTGAAGAACATTCTAGCTTCTCCTCAACCCGTACGCACCTAATGTAAACTGAGTTTTTTTCCTCGAATAAGAAGTCTCGAACATTATGCAATATGGAGGGCGTGAGTACAATGATTTCGTCTAGTATTTATGGTCCTCTCAGTCTCCTCTGCAGCACAAATTACCATAATTTCTAACGTCCGAGAAAAGTTCATAGTTTTATCTAAACACTCATTTTTGAATTTTGTAAATCGGTGAACCGGAAGTGGAGTTATGGTTCAATGGAAATTGTTGGTTTAACACTGTTTGTATTGTCATTATCAGAAATGAAGAAAAGATATGGCACCCCGCTGTACTAGTAAACCGTAGAGTACCGTGTCAGGAATTGGAATAGTTATCGTCGAATTGATGAAAGTGGTGATAATTGATAAAGTACAGAAATACAGGTCACCATTTAAATAATAGTAATCGTTGACTCCATTCAGCAATTTACAACGTTACAATTAATGCTAGTTGTCACTAATTGCATCCAAGATACCATTAATAATTCATAATATTCAATCTGTTTACCATCATGTCATAAGTAGTCCGCGGACTTGATTGTCCTCTTGGATACTACCAAATATCCCAATTGTTGACCCTTACCAAATAACTTACAGAACGGCACAATCCTGGTTCCACCTCTCCCAATATGAAATGAAATTAAATATTGCATTTATATCCCGCTTATAGTATCAACAACCAATATTATGAAAAATAAAAAGTTGCCGGTGTTGAAGCGGCTGAGTCGCTGACTGTATGGTGACAAATGGGATAATCTCCAGAGATTATTCCCAGTGATTGTAAGAGTTCATATAAAATGGCAAATTTGTCGAAGGTATTGAAGCAGTTAATTTGTCATTCTCTGCTCGCTTTCTTTCCAGTCAGCATTCAACAAGACGTAATATAAGCAGCACTCCCTTCAAAATAGGTCACTAAATAATGTCATTCCAGACAATTTTTGGATGGTTAAACCAAAGCAGACGAACAACGAGCGATTTCTTGGGCACAGTAAGTCTCTTTAAGAGAGAGGCGGAGCGTCTGTTACTCCTCTCACATAAATTACATGTGACTTACATGTGATACATGTGACTTACATGTGACTTACATGTGACTTACATGTCACCAATGTGAGTTTCACACTAAGTTCTTATCATGTCGAACTAGATTTAGCACAAGCTGTAGCGATATTAAAACGAACATGATATCAAAATGCCACAGTGAGTTGCATTACATGACCAACTTGTAACTTCTTACCATACCACAGCTCTATAAAATCTAAATTTGTAACGGTTAAGCTTCTACAAAAGTTAGTGAGATAAAATCAAATCATGCCACAGCCAAGGATCGGCTGACGTCCCTGCTTAGGCCCGGCCCCCGTCAAAATCGGCCTGTATTTGGAATCTGGTCCCGGTCAAAAGTCGGCAATTTGGCCAGGACAAAACCGGCAAGATTTAAATATTATTGGAGAAAATTGTCTCAAAAATAAACGACAACTATTTTTAAAAATGGATCTTGAATGTCAAATACTTTATCATATATTATAATTTAATCTTTAATTTGGAAAGATATTCCGTTTCTTAGATGACTTACAGGGTTAGCTACCGGCGGGACGTTTCAGAAAACGATCCGATTATAAATGAAAGCAAGCGAATTTATACGTACTTTAAATATTGTGACATGAACGAGTAATCCGAACAAAAATGATGACACAGATTATCTAGTCTATCTAGTTAGATTATCTAGTCTATCTAGTTAGATTGTCTAGTCTATCTAGACAGATTGTCTAGACGTAGATTGTTTAGTCTAACCAAGTTTTTTAGACAGTTTAATATCCTTCTAGTTACTTCTACCAGTTACGTAGCAAGGCATGGTGCTCATTCCCAAGAAGGTCGATCACTGCCAACACTGAACCGCAAGGCTACACGATATGCGGCAACCACATAATATGACAACTCGGAGACGGGGCACCGTGAATCTGGAATCTGTTAGCGAAATGTGTCAATACTGACAAGACACTAGACTCGTTCAAATAGTGTCACTAGGGAATTTCCTTGAATGGTTCCCTGACAAGCCACCCGTTGTTACGCGACCTTACCATTTGAAGGCATGGGTCACATCCTTTCAAATCCGTCTCACATGTCACTATATAGTGTGCAAAACGCACTTTATAGTGACAGGACTATATAATAATAGTGACATGTCACTATAAAGTGCTTGTCAAGTTGTCACTATATAATAGTGTTGTCACTATATAGTGCGGGAATCTGACACTGACGCCAGATGACGACCTGAGCAACAACAAAAAAAAAATTGTGTATCATCTGATCACTTTTTGTGACATCTGATAAACTTTATCAAATATAAGTGAGATAAAACCAAGACACACCTCAGTTTTATAAGGTGAATCTGCTAGAAAGGTTAAGGTGGCTTGACAGACGTTTACGTGTTGATTTGTTCCATCTGTGGTGCCTGGTAAGTTGGTACTGGTACTCTGTAGTGTTTATACCATTTTAGCCATTAGAAATAGAACAGCTTGCTTGGTTTGTCAGCTAACAGTCTGACCTCTAGTTTAGCATTTTATAGTTGTAACTTGTCATCAGTGAGTCTGGCAGATCTCATAGCGTTACAGCGTTAGTCGGTGGTTGGTATTTGAACTATCTGCCGTCCACTAAGGAGTCTGGACGAAGATGATAATATTCTGTCACTATAAGATAAGTCTCCGGGTGTCATTATCATACAAACCATTGCTACTATTTAAAAGGTCTACAAACTTTTTCTTCGAAAGAACTTGCAGGATATATAAAAGTAATAATAAGTATTAATGCTCTCCAATTCTCCCACTTGATACCTATCTGATATATTTTATAGCAGTGCTCAGTTATAGTATAAAGTGCTAAGTGCAATGTTTCACAACTTTACAATTTCACAGATTCACAATTTCACTATTTCACTGTTTTACTATTTCACTAAATTTTCACAATTTTACAATTTCACAGATTCACTATTTCACTGTTTTACTATTTCACTAAATTTTCACTAAATTTTCACTAAATTTTCACTATTTCACTATTTCACTGATTTTATTATTTCACTATTTCATTATTTCACTATTTCACTATTTCATTATTTCACTATTTCACTGTTTCAGAGAGTTGGTGCTGAATAACCTGTGTCCGGAGCTAGTGTACGTGTTAAAACAGCGGATAAACCCAACAATACCCGTCACACCAGAACAGGCCAAAAACGACAGGTGCGTGCATTTCAGACTCATTTCTTAGGAACGTTCTCTAGACTTCTGGTCGAAAAATTCCAGGTAATTCTACAAGCTTCTAGACGGATCTAGAACTGTCTAGCTTCCGGCTTCACTTCAGAGATATAACACTCGTAACGGGTTGAAACAGAGACCAATTTGTCTCATTAAGTAGTTGTCACATTTGATTTATAGATCTGTCTACAAAAAAATTAGGTCGAATATATTCAAACATTTTGGAATGTTGTCATAAATCAACCAAATTACGAGTTAGGATCAAATGAGAAGTCAGAATGAAATTCATAATGTTTATGAATTGATAGAAACTCATCTTTCAAAATTTACCATCGTGCTTCACGGGGTATTCATTAGGAGAAAATGGGTTGAAACTCATCCGATTGTCAAATAAAGAAATAAGGCCGCAACATAAAGTAATGAATAAAACATGTCCGGCGGGGGTTTTTATATCCGACTAACAGATATTGCAACCAGTCAATTTCTAGCGATAAAAGGTTTTCTGGGATATTCTTCCGGGCCTTCCTTGTGGTTTTTATTAATCAGATAGGACTAGGAGGGATGAGGATCCATATACCTCATTTCATTTCATTACAATAATATTGCGGGGTCCTATTGACGGACCAGCGTTTTCTTCCCTCATTTTTGCCATCAATACACTAGACTTACCAGGGAGAAGAGGAAGACCCCAAAGCAATCTATTCTCGCTGATTGTGCATGATTTATGAAAAAGAAATCTTTATTTGAATAATATCTTTGACTGCATTATCTCCGTAATTTAGCTTATGAAGTTATGACAAGAGATATTGGCGGAAAATACAATGAAGTTTTTGATTTTTAGTTTTTGTTTTAGGGAAAGATTAGACTTGGGCGTTGTTTTTTAACTATCCCTTGTTTAGAACTTTGATTTAATAGTAATATCGTAAACACGTTAATAATAATAATACCTAATATACGTTAATATAATAATACGTTAGCTAAATTTGACCATCTTAGTCTTAGAGGTCACCCCGGTTCCGTACGCTTTTTTTGTACGCAGAGTTTTGTGTAGAAATTACAAAGCTTTTCCTTTTCACCCTGCTTCCAGGAATATTGGAATCAAAACATATATATATATAAAATATAAAAACGTAAAAACATAAAAAAGTAACCTGCGAAGGAATGTATTACACATTCCCATAGATCCGACTGTATGTAGTTCTGTCCTAAAGTTGAGTATAACCGTTTCAGTGCAAGTAACCCGCGTTTGGAGCTTAGATGTGTGTTAGCAATAGTGAGACATGGAGATAGGACTCCCAAACAGAAGATGAAGATGATCGCAAAGGAACAACGGTTTGTAATTCCATAATAACACGCTTTAATTCTTTCGTTAAAATAGTGAAAGTTATTGTAAAGACCAGTTAAATATCCAAACAGTCGCATTGTTGAAATTAAAGCTGATTGCGATGGTAAAACCATTTTTCCAGTCTAGTCACCATCTCCACTTCTGCAAATTCCACCCAAAATAGGGCACTAAGGGCACTGGCTGGAACCTAAAGTGCGTTTATAAGCCGGTCGGCATTGTACATATTTGCCGTTACGAAATAGATATGACTCTGAATTTGAACCCAACATCGATGTTGGCAAATTTTATCGGGGATTAACTGCACAGTGCACAAGTATAACTACTATGACGCCTATTGTAGTCCAAAAACAAAAATTCTTGTTAAAATTTACATTATACCTATCGGTAGAATTCATTCCTTAAAACTTATAATTTCCCAAAAATTCTCGCTAGATTTGTCTACTCAATTAAAGGTGAATGGGAATAAAACAAAGTGCACAAGCTCAGTTTAACACAAATTGTCAATAAACCTAGTACGTAAACCAAACGTACAGTTAGTCGTCAACATCCTCCTTCGGAAACGATTAATTCCAATAATACAGTAATTGATCATTATGTGTTTGGTTATGTTACCGACCAACTTCAGCTGGGCGTGTCAAGGTAACATTTAATTGCATCTCGTAAGTACGTTTAATTTTAATGGTTGGATAGATAACTAATAACTATCATAATTAACTAACTAATTAACTAATTAACTAATTAACTATCACCAAACATTGCAGGTTTATAGACTTGTTCAAGAAGTACGCCAAGGACGGAGACAAGGAGCTAAAACTAAAGAGACCCGCCCAAATGAAGGAGGTCCTGGAAATGACCAGAGAACTGATAGTGGAGAAGGAAAACGCGGGAAACTCTGACAACGTGGAGAAACTGAAAGTACTGAAATCGGTACTGGAAATGTAAGTTGTTGATGAAGCATTATATTATCTTGTGCATGATGTAAAGCACTGTGGTGATTATTCTGGCGGCTTGGTGGGGCGGTGAAAACTGGTGGGGAGGTACGCCGCGCAGGTGGCTTATTAAAGTCATATGTAACACTAGATTAGTCGTGTCAATTATTGGAACTTCATATTTGACGGTTGTTTACGAATTTAATTGTTCCCGTCTTGACTCAATGACTAAAGTGGGTTAGTAAGGATATTGATCAGTATAATATTTCATCGTTACCGTGTCTTCACCAGGAGCTTAAATTATTCATAATATATTTATTATTTATTAATAAATTTATCATATTATATAGATTCCTTGCTCATTAACATCTTAGCTCTAATATTGACGAGTCACTTTAGATGGCTTCGACTGAATCTTTAAAGTTTAATTGTTTTCAGTAATAAAGCGGTAGACAAACATTCTGTTATTATTATTATATTATCATCATTGTAATTATATCATAAATTATAGCAACCAACTTAAGGTCCTGATGAAAGTATTGTACCGATGAAATATAATATTGCCTTAGTTATTGAGTCACGAAGAGAGCTAAAAGCATGATCAATCAATTGAATATGCGACACAAAAGTAACTATCCGAACGTTCAGATCAGATAATCTGTTGTCCCCTCCGCAAGCTGATTGGTTAGTAGATCTGACAAACCTCCCGCTATACCTCCCCACCAGCTATTAAACATTTAAACATCATGAAATTAGGATTTGTGCTCTTTAAACCGTGTAAACGGGGGTGGATCCACTTTAGGGGGTTGGGTGTTGCAACCTGCTTAAATTGTTTTGCAAACTCTGCTGAAAATTTCGAAATTTTAAATGAGACTCCACGATTACTATCAAATGAACGTGCTGTTCAGTTGTTTATAATTTCAAGCCACAATAACGTCGACAACGCCCCCGGCCCCCCTCCTTTAAATATTTTAACAGTAGATCCTCGATTTACCAAGCCTCACTTTACCTGTTTTAAAAATCAAGCAGCCAAATTTTCTCATTCTCCGAAAGGCCCGATAAATCGAGAGTCTACTGTAATTGGATCCACTCCTGTTGTGAATTAACAGCAGTTCCTGAAGGAATTACCGTAATTCAATTACGGTGCACTAGCAGTTCAGAACATATCGTCATATCACAATCACAATCATTGAACAGGGGCTCCGGTTACTCCACACAGTCCAAGTCAAGGTGAGACACTTGCGACACATAGCGACACAATGCTACACTAGTAGTAGTTGTAGGGACAAAAAGGTTGTAGCGCTTGTAACTTTCAGCTTTTCGGCATAGGGAATCTTTAGTGCAAGGCTTAGATTGTGATTATATTTATTTTTGTGCTCGAGCAGTTTTTTGTTGCATCGTAGGCAAAATCCGAGTGTGCGAAGATTGATTACTTCCTGGGGCGCATTTAAGACGCTGATTAATGTATAAAACGAGTGCAAATAGAGTGAAAATAGAGTGCGAATAGAGTGAAAATAGAGTGCGAATATTATAGTGCAATTAATCATTCCTTGTGCTAAAATTCCACATTTTCCGCTTTATTAAAATGCTAAACAGCGCATCGTTCTTCGTGGTAGCAGATGAAGTTCACCCAGTTTATTATTAAGACGCTAAAATTTGTTTTCTGTATATAAGAAAAAGTTGCAAAATGTAACACGTAAGCCCAGGCAATTGTTGGGCATATATATTTTATTACCACTCTATTGATTGAACAAATAATCAGATTAAATTGGTGTAGGGTAACATGATTAGGCTAATTGCCGCTGATCCTATTTCAACGTGATCTTCATCTGCTGCCTTTAGGGATTTGTTAATATTTGTTGCATATAAGTAGCATAATAAAATATATTTAAACTTTTTAAAAAGTATAAGAAGATATTAATAATATGTACATTAATATCCAAACCAGGCTGCGAAAGTTAGTTCCTGGCTCTTCGTGTCCATTGTGGGTGTTTGAGTGATACGTGTGCCTTTCTGTATGGGATTGGGAGGTTGTCATAATGAAACATTTTGAAAAATTGTGAAAAATGGTGAAACATTCCAATAATTTCTAGACCAAATTGACCATAAAAATGTTCACTATTTTCATCATTTTTCATCATTTTTCACCATTTTCCACCATTTTTCACCATGACAACCCCCCGTGGGATTGTTTGGGAGGTGTGTGGGGTTTGAAGTGTGTGACTATCTTGAAGTTATTATCGGCATTCTTCAAAAAGATCTGATTGCATGTGGTAGTGTCATTCTACATCCACTTCAACAAAAATTTGTGTATCCATAACTGCTAATTCTGGCAGTCTGCCAAAGACTGACAGGGTACGCAGCATTTGGGTATTTGTCATCTGCATAATCTAAACATATATCTGCATAATCTGCATTCTGCACATACCTGCATAATCTATGGTACATATTATCGAGATCAGTATTCTCCCTTGCGCATGAATTTTCTGGGTGAATATTTTTACTTACATCTATGCAGGTTATCAAATAATAATCAATATTTGTATATTTTTGATTCATGCTAAAATCTATCAGTATTCATGATTTGTATTTTTTGATTCACAGATTTAATTTCTGTACATTTTTCCAAAAAAAATGCAGTTAGAATTTTCCAGATCTAGAAGGTGTTTGGGAATAACTATAACTTTACAGCTTGTTCTCATGTTGTACTGCTATCTACTGGCTCAATAACTGCTAGCCCATTCTTACAGCTGATTAGTAAACAGCTGGTTGCTGAACACTAAAGCCCTAAAGCATTCTAAATGTCATTATTAACCTCGAAAACTCGAAAACTGAGGAGCTTTATAAACTACATGATGAGTTCAATATCTTGTTCAATTTACTACTCACTAAGCGTTTTGTTATAACTGGTCAGCGATTTAATATTATCTTTTATTAATATAACGCCCTTATTACTCCTTATTTACGACTTATGATCGTTGTTTAAAATCGCTTAAATAGCTGAAGTAGAAAAGAAAAGGAGGAACTGAAAATAATGTCCACCAAAGACACATTAGCTTGTCTAAGAATTTAAACAAGCAGGCTGTAAGGATATGTAAGAACGAGAAAATGCATCTATAATGGACATCAATTTTCTTCTTCTGCAGAAGGAGAACAATTTGGAAAAAGTTTGAGGTTTACCTGTCAAAATAATTAAACAAAAGAAACTTTGTCTATTATAATGGACATCAATTTTCTTCTTCTGCAGAAGGAGAACAATTTGGAAAAAGTTTGAGGTTTACCTGTCAAAACTAATTAAACAAAAGAAACTTTGTCAAGACTGCTGTATCAAAATAGTGAATATGAATAATGAACTGCAAATCAAAATCTCTTATAAATAGGAATGATAGTCACCCTGGGGCCTGGGACTTGCTCTTGACATATCACACCCGCTCGATGACTTGCTTTCTTTGCAGTTCGGAATTGATTAAAACTGAGCAAGATATACTATCAAGCTGCCCATTAAACTAGCTAAATATGCGCTTCATTGCAAAGTGAAGAAATAAGACGCTAGCAAGAGCACCTTATAAGGTCATTTTGTTTAAAATAGAATAACCCCTAAGTGAGTAATTAGTGGTTCATGGTTGATCCAGTACAAGGCCAAGGGAAAAACGAGTTCACAAGAGAGCCGTGGGAAGCTCCTCCTTTTTACTCAGTAACTTTTTAGCTGGCTACTCTTTAAACATTTACTCCTCCTTCTATAACCAGTTGGTTGTCAAACAAGCGGTTGTCAAGGAGTGGTCAATTAGATATTATATAGTTAAACTATCAGATAGTTAACAAATTAACAAATGAACACAGGTACGGGCACTTCTCGGGGGTGAACAGGAAGGTACAGTTAAAGTGGGTAACAAACAAACCCCCTAACAAGACACCTCTGAAGAGAATAGAGCAGATTATAGAGGAGTACGAGGAATCTCCTACAGGTATGTGGGGGAGAGGGGGGGGGGCGGGGGGGGGGGGGGCAATCATTATGTTCCTTCCTTTTCTCTCAGAAGTTCTTGGTGTCAATATAACCGAGGATAATGTCCATAGTTTTTTATCGGGATTTGGGACTCGGAGACGGGATCCCGATAATATCACGATTCTAGATTTTTCTCAGTATTTTTTTTGCAAAAGCTGATCAGAATCGAAAGAAATCTAAAGTAAAAATTTTGTTTTTAGAACGTCTATTCTCAAAATGTTTGTCCCAAATAATTGTCAAGTCGGATACGACACCTCTGCACCTCACGATCTGATTTTTGGAATCGGGAAATGGATACGAGACCTTGATGTCTCATGTCACAATTCGAGATCTGACTCGGGAACTGGGAAATGGATATCAATACGTGACACCGATATCACGATTCGAGATTTTTCAAATTGTTTTTGGCTTTTGCACAAAGTTGACAGTATGGAACGAAATGTAAAACAAAATTGTTTTTAAACCTATTATTATTAATTAGTTTTAATAGGACGAAAAATATGCGTTTCAGGATTTTGGGAGAAGATTATAGAAATTTTCGGTTGAATTTCCGGACCGGAAACGGGACCGGATATGAAAACTTCAAGACTGGCGTTATCCTGCTACAAAAGTAGTTCTTTGAGCTATTTGAAACTTGAATTCAAAATGGCTTCATACCTGAACCATACACAACTTGAACAGTATAACTTGAACTTCTCAACTTTATAACTTTCACTCCCCTACCACTCAATATCTGAACAGTCAATTTTTCTCATGTGAAAGCAAGCTTCATTATAAAGTACTCTTAACAGTTAACGGCTGGTAGCAGCTGCTGCAGGTTGATATTCTGATGGAGCACTACCACAATCAAATCGGAGAACAAGTTAATTATATAATGCCAAATTGGAACTAAACAGGTAGCTGAGCTCGGTTTTAAATTAACAGAGAACTCACGTTGTGCGCGTAGGAGGTGCAGACTACAGAGGACAGACACTATTAGCACTCACGCTCCGTTAGCGCTCTCCTTTACTCAACATCCTTAATATAAGGGTATAAGGAGACAGATTACTATGTCTCCCCAGTCCCCTATTTAATCTAATCAAATCTATAAATATTAACTTTATAGATGTTCAAAAATGAGGGCCTACCGAATGCGAAACTGCTTAAATCGGGAAGTTGTTCTTTGGAGGCTATAGCTTGGGATCTAGCCAGGAGTGCATGCAGGCTAATTTTTTATTAACCGGCGGCGACTGACAGTCTGCAGATGGTACACGTACTCTAGTTCGACACGTACTCTAGTTCGACACGTACTAAAGTTCGACACGTACTCTAGTTCGACACGTACTCTAGTTCGACATGTACTAAAGTTCGACATGTACTAAAGTTCGACCCTTACTAAAGTTCGACATGTACTAAAGTTCGACAAAAGAACTGGATGAGAGGGATATTCTTACTTACTTTACTTCAAATTATCTTTCAATTTAGTTTTTATCGAACAATTTGTTAGTTAGCACAATTGTAGACTAAAGCGGTGCCCCAGGTAAATCGTACTCCGTTTTATAGATCTAGATTGCAGTGTACGCTTATTATAGAGTAGGAGAATTACAATTGATATTATCATAATAATAATATGTGCAATGTGCACATTATGTAATCTTATTGGAAGCTGATTGAAACAATTGATAACTTATGTATAATTTGGTACCTAACTGACCTCAGACTCGATAGTTACTGTTAGTTACTAGCACAATTGTAGACTAAGCGGCCCCAGGTAACTCGTACTCCGTTTTATAGATCTAGATTGCAGTGTACGCTGCAATTTTAAACGTTATATAATTTCTGACCTCGTGCACCTGCAATTGAACCACGTGATCCTATGATAAGGAACTGGCAATAGCCCATGATGGATCACAAGCAGAAACTATTTCTCGAACTAGAGTACGTGTCGAACGTGTACGTGAATCCTGCAGATTACAATACAGATCTCAGACATTACATATTGCAGAAGGAATGTAGTTTTGCGGTATTATTAAAAACAGCATTGTCTAGTGCAGTATTGGCATTGCATATTGCATAATATTCTGTATAAACGGATTAAACAATCTGTATCATGATGCAATATCAAAATATACTCTACTACAGTCTCTATACAGTCTCTATATAATACTCTACACACACTATCCAACTTGTTAACATCACACTAAAATACATCATATTATCACTGACAGAACCAAATGTGCACACAGCACACAATTTAACATATTGTATCAGTTCCAGTTATAAGCTCCTAACCCAGCTACTTCCACCAGAGCACCCCGAACAAAAGCTCCTGCTCATCCTAAAGTGGGGAGGCGAGCTGACGATGGCAGGACGAGCTCAGAGCGAGTGTATGGGAGATTCCTTCCGGTCCGTCTACCCTAACAAAAACGGTACGTGATAGTATAACTGAGGGTCCGTCTACCCTAACAAAAACGGTACGTGATAGTATTACTGAGGGTCCGTCTACCCTAACAAAAACGGTACGTGATAGTATTACTGAGGGTCCGTCTACCCTAACAAAAACGGTACGTGATAGTATGACTCAGGGTCCGTCTACCCTAACAAAAACGGTACGTGATAGTATTACTGAGGGTCCGTCTACCCTAACAAAAACGGTAGGTGATAGTATTACTGAGGGTCCGTCTACCCTAACAAAAACGGTAGGTGATAGTATTACTCAGGGTCCGTCTACCCTAACAAAAACGGTACGTGATAGTATGACTCAGGGTCCGTCTACCCTAACAAAAACGGTACGTGATAGTATGACTCAGGGTCCGTCTACCCTCACAAAAACGGTAGGTGATAGTATTACTGAGGGTCCGTCTACCCTCACAAAAACGGTACGTGATAGTACTACTGAGGGTCCGTCTACCCTAACAAAAACGGTACGTGATAGTATGACTCAGGGTCCGTCTACCCTAACAAAAACGGTACGTGATAGTATGACTCAGGGTCCGTCTACCCTAACAAAAACGGTAGGTGATAGTATTACTAAAGGAAGAGGGCTCCTGGTTGACGCTTAAAATATAATTTAAACGGTAGGTGAAAATAGTTTGTTGTGGGCCGTACAACTAACAAAAACGTACATAGACTGTTCTGATCTTAACCTCTAACAATGTCAACGGTACGCTTGATATTATATGAAAAGGGTGTCAACTCATAGCCTTAACTAAATATAAAGTTATCGTGATTGTATACGACGAGTCATCTGACCTATTCACAAAAACTGACGTATAGTATTACATGAGAGTGTCGTTACTCTAAGCAAAAATGGTATGAAAGTATTCTGAGCAATCATTAAACTCCTAAAACCAAAAAACGTGTCCTAACGGATTCTTTAATAATCTAGGTCAACTTCATACCTAAACATATGAATATGCGATATAACACATATTATGGGTGTCTTGATTGGATACCCTAACATGAACTTCGTGATAGTATTACAGGGTGTCTACCCTAACAAAAAGTACTGATATGATTATGAGGTAGTTATCCTACAGAGGTAAGTATAGTATTACTGAGGTCCGATACTTACTCCTTGAAAAAACTACGTTATATTCTGATCCTCTATACGCTAAAAAAAACGGAGGCGATAGTATACTGGCGAAATCAGTCTACCTAACAGATAAACGTAGTGAATAGTATTCACTGAGTCCGATCACCCTAACAAAAAGGTAGGATAGAAAGTTTGGACTGAGGTCCTTCATGACCAGCACACAAACAGTATACTGTACGTGGATAAGACTACTCGAGAGAGGAAGACTTTTCATGCGATGTTTTGGTGTTGCTGCAGGTTAGTAGTTACCCAGGGTCTAAGTGAGTATTGTAACCTCGTAATTCGTGAAAATGATGGTGGGAGCACAAGAGAAAGAAAATATCATAGAACTGTACGTTAACTAGTAGTGGAAATTGTCACGCTTGTAGCGATATTATATCGGTAGTTGGTAAACATGACTCTAGGGGATTGTCATATGTACACCTAGCGTAACGTTTAGGACGTTAATCTAAAAGAATAAGAGTGTAGCCGTATATTTTGGACAGATTTGTAGAAAAATACGCAATCCCGAAGCCAACGTAGCGAATATTCCATAAAGATCTCAAACCGCTACATCTAACGCGATGTATAATAGCGTTGATTATGTTGGAATCGAGGTCTCTAAGTAAAATACGGCTCGAAGTACTGACAACTCAGCAATAGTCGGCTTCGTGATGTGACAAGATATGTCATCCTGGTAGAAAATTTCGGTCTATCAAGTACATATCTCGAGATGCCCCCTGGATGAAACTCGTACAGTAAAAGTAATTTAGTAGGTAATAGCTCTTCACCTGTTGTATGGAGTCCATTCCTGCTGCCATCTGATAAAGCACGAGAGATAAAACACTCACGCCTATGTCATAGGCCCAGATCATAGATCACCCAAATAACATAGAGTTTACAGTAGATGACTTGGTAACGGGAACAGTTTTACCTTACTAACAAGAATTTCGGAGACGCAGTGAAAAAGACCATGATTCGATACTCGTGGGAGTGATATATTAAGCAATCTCACTCGGAAACTTTTTTATTGCCAAAGGTTGAACGGAGGCCACACATTTGAATGGATCGTAAGATGGCTTTGATCAGAACCCGACTGCAAATGTGTTTGACCAGACAATCGTAACAGATAAGAATTGACATCAAGAAACAGACTCCTTCGTCAACTAAAGTGACCCTATCAAAAATAAGTCATAGTGTCGGCACCGTTCAAGATGGACTAAGTCCTGGAGACAGCAAACATCCAAGGGTGGACAAGGTCGTGTTTGGAGTCAAAGGGTGTTGGCCAAGTTGTGGTTCTCTTCATTGGAGAAAACAATGTCTCAACGGAACAGCATGATTGCTTTGCTGCAGAGAGTGATTGCAGGAGGATTCTACGGGATGGCAGGAGACTGTTATCTGTACTGATAGGAACATTGAGCTTCTGCTTCTGTAAAATAGAAATGTCTGAAATTCAAATAACCAGCTAACATTCGTAAGTAACTTGGAGCAAGCTCGTAGCTGGTTATTCACAGGATCATCTTATTGTCCAGATGAACAGAATACAAAAGAAGGATGAGTATACAAGGAAGGTGCAGAAGAACAAGTTAACCGGTGAATCCCGCCTAGCATAATTTGTTTTCCGCACATTTTGTAATTTTCTGCATATTTCCGCATAATCTAGCATTTTCCGCGTAATTTCGCATAATTTTGAAATTTTCGCGTTAAGATTTTAGAGTGTAAAAACCAAAATATTTTAAAAGTCGGGCCCTTTTAGGACCGTGACTCAGGCCCTTTTGGGACCCTGACCCAGGCCCTTTCGGGACCGTGACCCAGGCCCTTTCGGGACCGTGACCCAGGCCCTTTCGGGACCGTGACCCAGGCCCTTTTGGAACTCATACCTAGGCCACGTGACCCAGTTATCACGTGACCCAGGCCCTTTCGGGACCCTGACCCAGGCCCTTTTGGGACCGTGACCCAGGCCCTTTTGGAACTCATACCTAGGCCACGTGACCCAGTTACCAGTACGTGACCCAGGCCCTTTCGGGACCCTGACCCAGGCCCTTTCGGGACCGTGACCCAGGCCCTTTTGGAACTCATACCTAGGCCACGTGACCCGGTTACCACGTGACCCAGGCCCTTTCGGGACCGTGACCCAGGCCCTTTCGGGACCGTTACCCAGGCCCTTTCGGGACCGTTACCCAGGCCCTTTCAGGACCATGACCCAGCCGTTATGGAACCCTCGTCGTTACCGTACTTCGATTATAGTGTATCAGTTATCATTCGTAACTTCACCACATCATCTGATAGTGATTACTCTATATCACATCACAACGTCATGGACCGTTTCCTAAAGAAACAAACAGCTACAGACAGTGACCCATCATCAAGCTCACCACACAAGAAACAGAAGATACCTGCATCAGCAAAACAAGGGGATATCTCAGCAGCATGGCGAGCTCAAGAGTTTGGTTCACATTTTTACGAATCTGGGGGAAACAGTTCTGTAAGCCCTGCAATACAGTTGTGGACCACGCTCGGACCTATTTTTGATAAGAGCGGCGGTTATACGTTTAGAATTTCCAAAGTCCTTGAGAAAATGCAAAAGAAAACCGCACAATTCCCGCACAAATTTCGAAAAAATCGCCGCACATTTGCCGCATAATTGGTAAAAATTTACCGCACCTTACCGCATATTTTACCTTTATAGTCGGGTGCGGTACCGCATAATTTCGATTTTTTTACCGCACCTAATATGTGCCTCTGATCAACCTCTGGCGACAATGTTTTACGTGAAATGTAAAAATCAGGAGTAATATAAAAAAGGTATTTTTAGATTAAAGTGCTAGCTCATAGGTTTAGAATTGTATAGATTAACGTTGGTCATTTAGCCATCTAACAATCGATCGTGCCGTATATATATAGTAATATATAGCCAGAGAATAATACAATAGGGTCTTGGAAATTCTATAGTTGTTCAGTGGGTCGATCGACTGAACACGTTTGCACTTGGTATTTAAACTTACCAGTAGTTTATTTATGTTATGCACCGATGATAATGCAATTAGGATAACAACTAGGTAAGCCGGAAGTCTAATTCAAAACACACCTCACACCGTACACACCTCCAATCAGTAATTTTACTATTTGGTAGACCGGGTATTTTGGCGGGAATTCTGTTCCCACGGCACTGTTCTGATAGAAGCTACTTCTACTAATGGTCCCAGAGGAACGGCCGTATAGTAGCCAGACTTCTTGTCTCCTGTACTGGCAGACACTTGCAGATTAAAGTTAGAAATTTCGTTTGCTATAAATATAATTGCTCTCGGAATTGAACAAACTCCTACTTATCTGTATCCTTTCTAAATTCGTTAGAGTTTCATGGACTGGGGAAAAATAATCGGTACATTCTCCCTGCTTGTGTAATTAAGCAATGAAAACAATCCAAAATTATCACATTATATGACATAAGTTGTAATAGCAGAAACTTTCTAACCGTACATTCACCCGCCACTGTTCAAGAACCTATATCACTGTTTAAAATCATGACGTGAGCACTGTACATCCAATCAGCTATTCCTTTAGTTAGGATGATAGCCAAAACTATAAGGATTTTGGAGAACTAGGGTAATAGTCATAATTCTAAAATTTGAGTGAGTAACACGTGTTTTATTGACGATGATAAACATTTGTAATGTAAATTACGCTATGAAAGCGCGCACTGAGGGACTTTATGACGTCACGAGGCCACAGCTTATTATTGCAATAACACGCGTTACACGTACGCTAGAGAGTTGGTTCTTTCGGCGATACGATTCTTTACCAGTTTGTCACAGCTGATTTAAATCTTAGCCAAATTGGAGACTACAAATTTTT